ATGGCAAATCAGAACTATGCCAGGCTGAGCCAGGCTGACAAATGGCAGATAGAACTATACCAAGCTGCACCAGGCTGACAAATGGCAGATCAGAATCACATCAAGCGGCGCCTGCCTGCCGAGCGGCAGATCAAGTCCATACCAAATTGCGCCGGTCTGCCAAGCGGCGGATCAGATCCATATCAGTGTTGCACCAGCCTGCCAAGTCGCGCCAGCCTGCCAAGTAGCAGATCTAGTCCTTATCATGCTGCGTAGGCCTGCCAAGTGGCAGATCACAGCCACACTGAATTGCGTGCAAGCGCGCACCAATCCTAGTGAGCGGGTGCGCCGATCCTAATCAGCACTGACTCACGTGAGTGAGTGCAGTTTTCTGTCAGCAACAGCGAGTCTGAGGGCGTGTTGATCGAGGGCGCGCTGTTCCTGACCAGCCAAGACACGTAAAGGGGGGGGTCGCACACTACAATGGCAGTCTGCGTTCTCGGGCTTGGCACTTGGTGCAGGCAGCTCAACTATGCAAACTTGGACCTTGGCAAGCGTTGCTCATACAAGGCCGATACCCGATACACGCGTTAAGAGCTGGACTCACGCAAGCATTTGGTGAAGAGCAAAAGTACTGGCGCACAGGGCACTAACAGGGCGTGCACATGCCAATGTCGCGTGCAAGTACAAGCTAGGCAAGCGACTAAGCACGTTGGTATTAGTGAACATGCAAGGCGTGCAAGCATGCAGGACATGCAGCCACGAGGCAATCAGCATGCCGTGCAGGCTGCTACGGACTGGCCAGGAATGAAACATACTAATTTAAGGAAGCACACACAATGTAAAAATGGCGTGCGCAGACTAACTTGGTGCGAGCAACGAAACAAAGGTGGCATAATGCACCCAAAAAAAGGGGGGGGCAGCCAGAATAGTGGAAAAGGGCGGAGTGAGCAGGGAGAGAGCGCGCGCGAGAGAGAGAGAGAGAGAGAGAGAGAGAGAGAGAGAGAGAGGATGTGGGAGATGGGGCTATGACCTTGGCTAAAAACCTGACCTAAGCCCCTGCTGTAGCAGCTCTCCCCCTCCCTTACCTCCTGCCTGCCTGGTCCTCGCTCATCTCGCTCCTCCCCTTGCTTGCTCCTTGCTCTTGTCCCGGCTTCGTCGTGCCAGCGCTTCTGCATTCTCGCACATGTGTGTTGTCCTCCCTCTTTGGGTGACACGGCCTCTCTTTTATAGTGGAGAGGCCAGGTGCAGCAGTCCCATGGTCGGGCCCAGGGCTAAAAATAGACCAGGGCTGTGTTAAAATTAGCACAGGCCTGCGCTAGAAATAGTGCGGGACTGACACGGTCCCGACCTAGGAACACGAACAGCCAATCCCGGGCTAAAATTAGCACGGGCCTGCGCTAAGAATAGCGCGGGACTGGCACAGTCCCGACCTTGGAACAAGAACAGCCAGTCCCAGGCAACCGAACAATCAGTCCCACGCTAAAACATAGCATGGGACTGTGCTAATTTTAGCACGGAACTGGGCAGGCCCAGTCCCAAGTAGACGAATAGTCAGTCCCATGCTAAATTTAACGTGGGACTGTGCTAATCTTAGCACGGGACTGTGGCAGGCCCAGTCCCAAGTAGACGAACATTCAGTCCCACACTACTTTTAGTGTGGGACTGTGCTAATTTTAGCACAGGACTGGGACAGGCCCAGTTCCAAGTAGATGAACAGTCAGTCCCACGCTAGTGGGACCATGGTAACCCCGGACCCGGACACCGGACACTTCCGGACTGTCTTCCGGACGAGTGTCTGGACCGGTACGGACTGTCCGGTGATCCGGACATCACCGGACACCCGGACAGTCCGGACCGGTACCAGGGGTGCACGAATCTCCGGACCGAAAAAAAAAAAAAAAAAAAAA